TGACTAGTCATAACATCAAAATCATGAAATCTATGTCATGAATGTAATGATTTACATTTCATGGTCCTGGAGCTCTTGCGACAGTTTCGTTCCCATGGAATGTTGCAAAACTGGTAAGGTATCTGCGTGTCATGTGACAACATGACTACATGCCACTCTCATGATGCGCTAGCGGCCGTTTCGTTAGCTTCACTTATACCAAATTTGGTATTACGGAATGTGAATTGATGACGAAGACATGATACTGGTGCAAACATGATAAACATGAGATGCGTGTCATGCAACAACATGACTACATGCTACGCTCATGATTCACTCGCTGCCGTTTCGCTAGCTTCACATGTACCAAGCTCGGTATTACGCTATGCGAATGAATTACATAGGTAAATGACACATCCAAACATGATAATCACGACATGCGTGTCATGTAATAACATGACTACATGCCACACTCATGATGCGTTCGCGGCCGTTTCGCTAGCTTTACATAGGCCAAATATGGTATTGCGTGACGTCAATGAATGACGAAGGTATGTGACAGTTGCAAACATGACAATCATGAGATGCGCGACATGTGAGAACATGACTACATACCACAGTCAAGTGAGTGAGTGAGTGAGTGAGCAAACTTTATTTAACCAGCAGATTGAGGCATGGGCCTAAGCCGCGCCAGGGGCGGCGGAGAAACCCTGTCTCTCAGCCGCCTCCCGTGCTCGCTGGATGGCCCATATTTGATCTGTCCGATCTGAGCTGATCAGCGCGGCTCTCCAGCGCGCCCCAAGCTGTTCTGGGGAGACTGTATTGGCGTCCTGTATCTGTGTGCATTCCCATAACATATGCTCTAGGGGGGCGCGTCTCATGCTACATAGATTACACGAGTCATCTGGGTATAGTTCGGGGTAGATGCGATTTAGGTGCTTCGAGTTGGGAAATGTTCTAGTTTGAAGTCGCCTCCAGTCAACCTCCCTGAGATCTGTCTAATGTGGAGCTAGGTAGTGGAAATCTGCGCCTTGACCATTGGTAGAATTGGATAATTTCAAGGCGCCAATACATTTCGACGTGACCCGGTGTGCGTGCTTGCCGGCGTTCATTTCGTCGCTTCACGCCGGCGTTGCCACGCCAGGCGCCGGTCCTCCCATATACTAGCAGACGCACGCCGCGCTGCGTTGCAGTGACGCATGCGCGTTTCAGGGCGTCTGGCGTCCTTCCGTCACGAAAAGAGGGAGACGCAGTGTTGTCTTGGTAACGCATCGGCGCTAAATGCAGCATGTCGCCTTTCGCGCCGGTTGCCGTAGAGTCGTGCCGGATGACGCTGGTCGCGCCAGGCATCAGACTATAGAGTGCTGCGTTTTACTAACGTAGCGTCGCTCTGCCCAGCGTGCGCGCGCGTCAACGCTCATTGGAGTATATTGGGTACTTCATGATGCGCTCGCGGCCGTTTCGCTAGCTCAACGTATACTAAATTTTGTGTTACCTGACGTCAATGAATGACAAAATATATGACTGGTGCAAACATGATAATCCTTACACGCGTTTAATGTAAAAACATGACAACACACTACGCTCATAGCGTTCTCACGGCCGTTTCGCTGGCTCCACGTATACTAAATTTAATATCACGTGACGTTAATAGATGACGAAGGTAAACGACACCTCGAAATATGATAATCATGTCATGGAAGTCATGTACGGCATCATTCACCTCCACCTCGTAACGTTGGGCTGATCTGAAAGTGACAGATCAATATTCTCATGGCTGCTTCGCATATCATCGATTCCTACTGTAAGTGGGATCTGCCTATTTTTTTGCGCATTTCGAAGAGATGTCATGTTCAGCCATGCGGACAAACTGTGATATAATACCGCCAATGCTTAGAGGTTCGCTTCGAATTCCTCAACAAGCTGCTGATTCTCTGCACGTCCCTTCATTACCCGAAGAGGTAAAGGCAGCACTACCATCTACGAAATGGGGGACGGCCCCTGGGCCAGACGCTTTTCCAGGACTCGCTGTCTGGATCTCGTGCCGACCGGTTGTGCCCCCACGATCTCCGACGAAAGCGCATCTCTGACTGACTGGCTCGCCCTACGCCATCTCCTGCCGCCAACAAGAGCTCTCGCTGAGTGGTGCCCCGTCATCGATCTCCTGCGACAGTGTCCATCTTTCATATTTTCTCCTTGCTTCTGGGTGTTGCTGTCCCTGCGCCACGCTCTCTCCATCCCCCTCTCTATCTCTATACCTTTAATCCTATCCTTTTAATCCCTCCTTAACCCCATCCCTTGTGAGCTACTGTCGAGGTGTCACACTCTGATGCAGACAGTTACGGGGCTCGCTTTTATCTTGTTATCTCTTTTAAGAATCATGTAAGACGGTTTTCCAGTTGAGTTTTACTTGTCATTTTGGAATGAGCTTGGTACTGCCTTAACCGCGGTTATCCGTTGATGTTTCGAGGATGTGTCTTTCCATCAAGTATTCGAGATGGCCGCATTGTACTAATTTCAAAAGCTGACGCTTCCTATGTTAGTCATGAAGATTGGAGATCTATCACGTTTCTTAACGTTGACTATAAGATATTAGCGACGGTGATCATTCAACGTTTGAGGGTTCTGTTGAACACCCTGGTGGGTCATCACCAGGCTTCATCAATGCCTCGACGAGAAACACACAGCTTGTCTTTTACCACCCAGGATATCTTCGCCTATACCCTGTCGCGATCTGCGCGTGGTCTTCTTGCGCGTGGTGTCTTTGGACTAAGTGAAAGCATTTGACCGACTAGAGCACACGTATATCTTTAAAGGGCTCACAGCCATTGGTTTTCCTGGTTCTTTTGTGGAAATAATTAGAAATACCTACTCTGGTATAAGAAGCACACTATAGTTCTAGATGGTTGGGGAGTGCACACTTTTCTATTACATGTGGGGTCTGTAAAGGATGCCCATTGTCTCCTGTTCTATTTCTCCTCAGCCTTGAGCTATTTTTTATGCTCTAGATGCGGATTTACGTGTGCGGGGTCTTGCACTTCCCGGGCAGCAGCGCCATAGAAGTCAAAACTTTTGCTGTCGACATAACCCTGTACCTTTCAGATGAAGATAATATTTCAGATAGCCTGCGTTTATTGTTTCATTATGGCTACATTCCAGGTGCCGCGCTAAACTGTTCTAAATCCCAGTATTTAATCATTGGCTGTCCAAACTCCAGACTTAGCTCTGCATCTCTTCCTCAGCCGGCTGCGTCTCTTCAAATTTTAAGAATTTTATACAACCACTACGGCGTTTGTTATTCCATTGGGTCAAACGCCCTCGACGAAGTAAAACAAAAAATTGAGAACGCACAATATTTCGACTTCCCGCTTCTTTAGCGGAAAACCTTGCGCAGAGTGTGCTCTGCGGTCGCATTTGGTGCATTTCTCCCGTGGAGCAGCCGCCTTTACGCATCGTGAGGTCATTGCAGTCTGCCTTGTGTTCCTTCTTTTGGGCCGGTGGCACTGAGTTGGTTTCTCGTGTGGCGTCGGGACATCAGCGTTTCCAGGAAGGCTTTGCTTTTCCTTCGGTATCAATCCGCCGCCAGCTACTGACCCTGCGCTTCCTGTTGCGCCTAGTACAAGGAGAGGAATCCCCCGTGCGAATTCTGGCATATTATTTTATAGGCACTCATTTTCGGTATGCCCTTATGTGTAGCTTAATCGGACCCCACAATCAGCAACACTTCCTTCATTTTATGCAACAGCTGTCCCATATTTTTGTCATATCCAGTCGACTTGTCCTGGGGCAAATGTGTTGGACAATACTATTGTTGACACAACAGCCGCTTTGTTGCTCCCGTTAGTTCCTCCGGCAAGCCACACCCACTCTAGTCGTGTGTCTTGGAGCACGCTGATGGCATCATTTCTGCCTGGCCACCTCCGGGACCTCATGTGGCGGCTTGGGTGGCGTGTTCTTCCTACCCTTAAATCAGCTCGAAAGGTGGAGAATGGTCCAGTCAGCATCATGCCCGAACTGCCATCTACGGGAAACAAATAAGCATGTTTTGAGACAATGTGTCGTTGCTCATATTTTCGCGGCATCGGAGTAAATCACTTTGTTTCTTCTTGGCGTTGTTATCGAGGCCACATCACCTGCATTCTTATTGTTGCTGGTGCCTACTGTCTTTGAAGCAATCGCTGTCAGGTGGTTGCTGCAGGTCGTCGCCGTCACGCTCTTTTTCCGATTTTGGAGCGACTGTACAAAGAACTATACTACCTGTTTTGTCAGACAAACTTTTTCTTCTCGGTGAGGAGGAATTCCTTCAGCGCTATTTCTGTCCTTTTGTGTTCATCTACGAGAGACGTGTAAAGCTTGTTTTCAGGCCTGCTTGGTTTCAGTAAATTAATGTTTGTTTACTCGCACAAATACTTGTAAATACCATGTAAATACCTAACATATACATCTTTACGTTTCATTTGTGTGTTCTTCGTTTACCATGAAATGTGCATATTTAAACATAACTTTTTTAACAATTTTTGATGTGTCTGTGTATGTTGTATTCAGTGTACATATGTTAACATATTTTTCTAAAAATTTTGGTGTGTCTGTGAATGTTGTTCCCTGTCGCGATGTTCTGTAAGATTGTCATTGATAGTCACTGTTCGCGAGAATAAATTTCCTTAAACAAAAAGGCTTGTTCTCAGTGTGAAGTCTACGGGACGGCTTTATGGCCTCCCATAGTAGAGTACCAAGTACTCTAAATTGTTCACCTCTTATTCTAACCACTAGGAGAGCTTGCAACTCTCCGGTTCTAGAGTACATCGTAGTCTAAATGGTCGAACATTTGTTCAAAGTACAACAAAAATAATTTAAAATTTATTGTAAACAGCAAAAAAAAACACTGAATAGATGGTCGGATGAGAAAGGACATGAATGTACGTACGTCGTCCATAACATCTGCTGTTACTCCAGTCTTGCATCCCTAGTGCAAGACGCTCACGTTTTTTTTTTTTTTTTTTACTGAAATCGAACACGCGCAGGCAACTTCAGCAGCCTCAAGATGGAGTTCCTGCTGGAGCGGGACCCGGGCTTCTACCTCGTCCACCTGTACCTGCCCCTCACGTTGACCGTGCTCATGTCATGGCACGCGCTTTGGCTCAAGGTCGAGATCCCGCAGGCTCGTATGGTGCTCACAATCCAGTGTCTGCTCACTATCGTGACAGTGTCCAACGGTGCACGCGCTCTGGTACCGCGGGTGTCGTACCTGAAGGCCGCTGACGTCTGGATCACCGCGTGCATACTGTTCGTGTACGGCACCATCTTAATCTCCACCATGGTCAACTACATGGCCAGACTCAAGCTGCGGTCGCTATGGCTCAGAAAGGCGGACCAAGCCTTTGCCGACGTTTGCCACGTAAGCTCAATTTGGCTGCGTTAGTCTGTCACGCTTGTAGCGATACCAAAGATACATTTCTTTTGTACCATTTCGCAGGGACACGTATAGTCTTTTCTGTGATGACAGCATGTTGTTCGCCTGTAGCTTATGAATATGCATAACGTCAGATTCAAACGTCATTATAAGTATAAATGATCCTACAGGGTTCAATGTCGCGCGACTAGGTAAGCGTCACCAACGTATAACGGAGACTGCAGCACATAACGCGGACATATGGACAAACAAATTGAACAGTAAGTGAGTAAGTGAGTGAGTGAGTGAGTGAGTTCTGCTCCCTCTGATCACTGCAGTGAGGACCGTAACAGGCCATACTAAAGTTTTTTTTATCTTTCGAATTCTATTGAGAGGCTCAGGTAGTCGAACTTTCCTGAGCGCTTTGTTACGGCGTGCCTAATCATATTCATATGAAGTCACATGACGTGAGGTCACGGGATAACGTCATGACGTGGCATTTTCACGTTAAAGGTGGGCCTATCACGAAGGCAATGCAAAACCAGGTCAGGCACAAAATTCTTTCGGAAAGAGGCGGGGCCTAAGCATTACACCGACTCAAAAAAAAAACAAAAAGCTGGTGGCCTTCACTTTGCGAGTCGTCTTAGGCAATTATATAAGAAATCCTAAGAATCGATTTTTCTTCTGCTGCACAAGTGAAAAAAAATCATTTTGTGCCATAACAGCGCGGTACTGTTCCTTCGCAAACACGTCATTGCAAGCACATTTTCGTTAATCGCTCGTCATCTGCGACTTCGCAGGTGATCAAGCACGGAACGCCTTCGGACGACTTCTTGCTGAAGATGAACCACGCCAACAAGCAGGAGCACCACAGGAACGTCAAAAGGTCCGAGTCGGTCGAAAGGCACGCTCGCTACCTCTTTCCCGCCTGCTTCCTCTTCTTCAACATCGTCTACTGGCCTTTCTACATGCTACGGGCCTACGCATACTTCTGAGGGTGAAAGACTTTCCTTTGGACAGATTTTAAAAAAAATGTTCGTCTCAATAAAATATGTCACTTCAACTGTAAGTCTCGCTCAATATTTCGCCTGCATCAGCTCGACTTGTCCCGAGAGAGGATCATGAGTCAAAAGAAGAGGCATCTGATGAAACGCAATACGACATTCAGCGTAACGGTGTGGGAAACGTAAGTGCAATGCGATTGAAACTTCATACTTTAGGCTTGGCGGCTGGCACTGTTTTCTAAGCACTGGAGTCTGTGAGTTCACTGATTTTTGTATATGATGAACTTGAAAGCAACTAGAGAAAAAAAAGAGCAAAACATATAGCACTCTGAAACAAGTTAAGGTAACAAGGTAATGTACAGTTTTCTTGCAGAAGTTCACATTGCAATAAACGTCTACATTCACACATTTCTAGTATATAGACTATATAGGCTATATATTCTTAGCTCTGCCCACAGTATTACATATATAGCAGTACCTGACCCAGCACTACCATCAAAATGTTAGTATTGTATCTAAGATATCTACACAGGAAAATAGTCCGACAGTCTATTATGGTTAGTTGGATGGACTCAAAAATAGTGGCTCAACCCACCACGGGGGATCGGCCATGAATCGTGCGGCAGAGGAATTGGGATAAAAAGAAAGGGGGAGGGGAGGCCGAAGAAGCCTTTTTTTCGGTAAACAAAAAGATTAGTTGTGCTAACAGGCCATTATAAATTGTTATAAACGAAAAAAATAAAAATATTGAATAAACTTAGAAAATTTATGAAGAAAATCAGTAATAAGTATGTACTTGTGATATTAGCATGGTAGCAGCTTTGATTTATATATATATATATATTCACACGTATATTAAATTTCGAAAATAACATAAAGGTTGAGCAAGATGTCACAGCAGATCATACTGTGACAGCTCTTTGTGTGTGTGTGTGTGTGTGTGTGTGTGTGTGTGTGTGTGTGTGTGTGTGTGTGTGTGTGTGTGTGTGTGTGTGTGTGTGTGTGTGTGTGTGTGTGTGTGTGTGTGTGTGTGTGAGAGAGAGAGAGAGAGAGAGAATCAATGCGGTTATTTTCATATTTCGCGGGCTTTTTCTTAATGCAATGCAATCATTACATTGTTGGATGTTGGAAGTAGCGCAGGCAGATGTTAATTCAAGTTATTTCAATATGTTCACATCTCCCTCATTGACATTTTGATAATTAGGCAAGTACATTTAGTTACAACTATAATTAAACTTTCTCATATTCATTAACAAAAAAATTGTAAATTTGTAGTGCCTACTTCAGTGTAGTGCTAACCATATGCACTAGGTTTGCTTCGGGTAACGCTGTTCCTTCTTTTTTTAAATCGTGTTGTTTGATAATTGGGACGCCCTGTATAGCTGTTCATCGCAAGCCATTATATTGTGAGGATAATTTTTCCCTTATTTCGCCTTTCGCTCTAGAAGTAAAAATGGAGTAGCCGAGGTAATAGTAAATTTCACCTCTCCACAGCAAGCCAATCAAAACATGGCTGCACCTGACAGCCTTTGCGATGCCTTGACACCGAAATCGGTCTCCCAGCACTCCTGGTTCACACAAACGGCTCCGGTCGGTAGTCTGTCCAGTGTGCTTCCTCTAATGGGAACTGTATAAGAGCATTTAAAGATATTTCCGCATTTTCTAATAAAGCTTTGTAATAAATCACTGCCATCAACCTTCACTAAATTTCAATTCTAGACTCGAAGGTGATTGACGGTGCGTGCGCAGATGGCGTGTTGTTAAAATGCCCCTGGAGGTCAGCACAGCGCGTGAGCCAGCAAAAAAATCTAAAATGCCTTCTCGCTACAAACAAGCGCTGGTACAGCATCTGTGCCAGAACTATGCAAACTCAAAGCCTTCGAAGTATTCGCACTGGCCTTGAACTGGCCAGTGCGAATACTTCGCACTGGCCAGTATTCGCACTGACCTTCGCACTGGCCTTCGCTTCTTCGAAGCTTGTACCAATAATATCTCCGGTGGTCTTGTCTGATTAGCACCGGGTAATGCTTACGACTTAAAATATGATCCGGAAACATTTTTATATCCATGCCACAGTGGCATAGTCAGCTGCCGGCCTACTGCGTCCGTGCCCCACCCGAAATCGGCCAAATTTGAGCATTTTGAGGGGTGCCCCTCTCTGAAATCAAAAAGGTGTCTCCCCCCCCCCCCCAAAAAAAAAACAAATTCTGCCGACGCTCCTGCCCTGCCCTAGTGAAGGGCTCTGAAAATTCTTTGCAGCTGCAGTTTTTTAACACGCACCTAAAATAAGGAACATGGGCCTCAGAATTTTTGCCTTCATCGAAAATGAGGCCGCCGCGGCCGGTATTCAAACCCATGACCTTCTGATCGGCAAGTCACACTCTACACAGGTAAATGTCAAAAAAACCTCAGGTGGTAAACAATAGCCAGTACTCACTTCAATATAGTTTCCCTCATAATCATATAGTGAAGTGTCATATAGTGAAGGAAGTGTCTCTTCATAGAACGCTTCTGCTTTCGGCTCCGAGCATTGTTATCAAGTTTTTCGCTTTTTACGGGAGACGCTGCTCCCTGCCCCAAGGCGACGGACGCGGAGTCATCCACTGGTCCGCCCAGCCAGAGGTCTGCTATGGCGAGCTCCTCGGTAAATCAGCGCGCCTGGCCCAGAACCAGTGAGGCCAACGGTGATAGTCACTGCATCATGGCTGTAGACGTGGAGCCTTCTGCGGCTCTGTCCGACCATAGACCACCTTTGGCAAGCTCGTCGCGGAAACGAAGCACCTGTTCGAGCACCAGCGAGGACACGGAACTGTACTCGGCCACTGGCGACGACTCGTCGGATGACGACTTCGAGACCGTGAGAAGCAGGAAGGCCAAAAGAAGAAGTATCAAGTCGTCTTCACCAGCAGGGACATTAACGTCTCAGTCAAAAGGAGAATGCTGGCCGCACACCATCCTCTTCATGCCCGAGGACACCACCATCAGCCTTCGAGCAGTAAACAGGCAAGCTCTCTCTATGTACTTTGAGGGGGTAGCACCAAACGACATTAAGGATATCCGGGTGAACACGCGGAAGAATATTCTAGCTGTGGACACAATGACTGCCAGCGCCATAGACAAGCTTCGCAGAGTATCAGATTTGGGAGGCATCAAAGTTCGACCGGTTATTCCAATGGACGGTGCCTGCACGGCGGGAGTAATCTACGACATTGATTTGGCCATAGCAAATTCGGACCTCCCAACTCTCATAAAACCAGCGAACGAAGGAGTTCTCATCGCGAATGTACTTCGCCTCGGAAACACCCGATGTGTAAAGATAATGTTCAAAGGAGATTCCATTCCGTCGCATGTCAAAGTGGGACACTTCCGACATCCTGTTCGACCATTTGTCCCTAAACCACTCCAGTGCCATAACTGCATGAAAATTGGTCACATCAAGAGTGTATGTACAAACACCACAGCATGCCCCCGATGCGCTGAGCCGCACACTGCAGACGCATGTCGGGCAACAAGTCTGAAGTGCAGAAACTGTGATGGTCCGCATGATGCTGCATCCAAGGAATGTCCTCGGATTAAGAAGGAAATCGCCATTATCAAACAAATGGTTAGGGACAATTCAACCCACAGAGAGGCTGCTGAAAGGGTACGGCGGCGACGTAGTCGCCGACGGAGGCGTGTAGGACAGAGTGTTGCGCATAACCCATTTCCTCCGAGCACGAGTGAAGTAGTAAGCACGAAGCGAAATGAAGTGGAGAAGCTCACAGCTGCGGATGAGTGGCCTACGCTTCCGCGTACACAGCCGGCAAAGGAGCCTCCTGCGAGGCCTCGCCGCCCTACACCTTCCACCGAGTATACTTCCGTTGAGGATGTGTCAAGGGTCGATCGACAGATCATCCCGATGTTACGATCCCTCGTCGCTGTCATGGCAGACATACTAAGAAGCCTGGGAACTCCAACCGCTCGAAGCGGGTTACAGGTGTTGGACGCGCTGAGCCCAGTCCTCGCCTCCCTCGCGTAGAGTCATGGCAGGAGATCAACAATCGTTCCGCAAAGACGTCAGAGAAGCATCAGTCATCCAGTGGAACGCAAGAGGACTTAGATCACGGATTTCCGATTTTCGTCATTACGTGTTTTCTAACCGTTTCCCAATCATCGTAATATGCGAACCGAAATTATCAAACCCGATCAGGCTATCCGGCTACGAATCAATCCCGTCCAAAACCCGAAACGAAAGCAGCAAGGTCATTGTGTATATTCGCCGGGAGCTTACCTACATCATTCAACCTGTGTCGCCTCATGATGAGAACCAATATATTTGCCTGACTGTGAAGCAGAAAACCCTCACCTTCACATTAATAGGTGTCTACTTATCTCCCTCAGCCCGTTTTGATTGCCAAAGACTGGATGACATTCTTTCGAGCGTACCGGATCCGTGGATAATTATAGGGGACTTCAACGCCCACCACCCAATCTGGGGAAGTTCAAAAGTCAATACCACGGGCCGGAGGCTGGCTTCATTTGTATCGACTCATGAACTGTCTCTACTTAATGATGGGAGCCCTACATTTCTGCGAGGATTAACGTACAGCAGCTGTTTGGACTTGACGTTCGTGTCACGTCGCTTCGCCACAAGCGTTAAGTGGTTTTTAGACATCGAGACACATGGTAGCGATCACATCCCCAGTTATCTCACCATCGAAGGCTTTGCTAGCAACCACCCACCGAAAACCGTACGGAGGATCGATCTTTCAGCATTCACAACCAACATTGAACACGCTTGTGAAAAAGGCTTAACCTCTGGCATTGAGCAAGCGATCAAACAAGCAGCGCAGAGTGCGATGCGCACGCTGGCATATTCTTCAAGGCCCTCAGAAACGGACATGGAGTTAGAGCGACTCCGTGCGATTCGTCGGCGTGCGGAGCGTAGATATCGACGCACAAAATCCATTCAAGATCTACGGATGGCCAGGCGCATGCAAAAGAAGATCCAG